CCGGTGCTGTTTCACACAACCGACTATCCCTGTCCACGCAGAAAACAGCCGTGAACACCAGCTGTTCGGGCTGTGCTGTACTGTTGGGCAGAAGAATAGAGATGCCCGCAGCACATACGATATTAGGATGGCAATGAGCGTTATGAGGATAGACCCTGAAAAAGAAGGGATAGATCCACGGAACCATCCCCAGGAACGGCAGTGGGACCAGATCACTGGAGAGAAAAGCAGCGTCAGGAGTTACCCTCAGCCACTAGAACTGGGCCCAACTGCAGTGCTAGCAGAGCTGGTGGCTGGCTTTTTGCAGAACTAGAGCTAAAGACCAAGTCACATCAGTTTGACCTCCCCTTTAAATAAATAAATAAATAAATAAATGGTAAACAGAGATCTCACAGTGATGCCTGAACCTGATGTCTCATGCTCACTTGTTTTGATGTGTCTAATGTAAGTGGGCGGATAATAAAAGCTTCATTTAGAAGATAGCGTCTTCTCAGACGCTGCTGGAAGCCCCTGGGACACTGCATTTCTGGAATTTTCCTCTAATGGAAACATCAGATAACTATCGATAAAGCAGAACATGCATGCAAAACAATTCAGCAACGGTTTATTTTCCTGGACTGCTGGGTGTCAGATGCAGAGGTGTATTTAGATTCCCCAGGTTATGTACCCACCTCAGCTGCTGCATCAGCACTCAAATGGCCATTACGATGACCATTTGGGGTAGTGCTCTGGAGAAGTATATGGTTATTGTAGCGTGGGTAGGCATCAGTTCAAAATAGGTAAATAAAAGAGTCCTCAGCCTGCATAATACAGCTGTGAATAATGGCATTGACAGCATTTCTCCCAGTTGGACATCACCCTGTAGATGATAAGCAGGTGCTGCTCTGTAACAGGCACACTTAGTGCTGACATTTCACATGAGCAGGAGATTCAACCCATGGACATGTTGTCTAGGATATTATCTTTCAATGCATTCACAGGTTATTCAGCTTCTTTTCAGGCAAATGAGTCTTCAGGAAGGTCTGGTTCCGGTGCCTGTGAGGTCTCTGTGGCAGCTCTCATGCCTGCTGTTGGGTTCAGGGATAGTTGAAGGAGGAATTGTGGCTAGTGAGGAGAGGAGAGAAGAGCTCCCGGAGTTGCTGCTGACCTCCTTAAGGTAATCTACTGTCCTTCCAGTTCAGTGCTAAAATCACCATTTCAGGTCCTGAATACAACACAATTAAAGAACAGTATATTCTCCCAGGACAGCGTGGAGGTCAGTGCTAAAGGTTTGGAGGGCTACACCTTTAATCCCAACCTGGAGTTTGTACGCTGGTCCATGGCTGGTTCATACCGTGACATGTTGACCTTGTTTCCTGGCTACAAGCACAGAAATACTGCCTGTCTCCAAGCATTTTTAGGTAATTATTTTCCCTGAACGTGGAAACTGGAAGGTCCCTTTTGTCTAGTGTATTACTTCATGACCTCCACAGGGTTCTGCCACCAGGCGTGGGGGGGAAAGGGAGATTGTTTCCTCCTGTATGTGGTTTTATACAGCATCTGCCTGGAAAACAAGCAGCAAACAAGATGACCCCCACTTTATCTGCTTGCGTAAGTCATTTTGTCTGAAGCCTGAGCACTGTGGGATGGTTAATATAAAACTTGCTCATGCATCAAATAGCAGTAATTTACCTTTAGACTCTGCTTTTTATTATTATTATTTTAAATTATTTCCAAAAAATGCTCCTTAATTAAAACCTCACAGATATGAAGCTTGGAAGAAATGTGGCCAGGACATTCTTGGATTACTACAGGCTGAACTCCTTGGTGGAGAGACCACTAGCACCTACTCCTAAGACTCGGTAGGTCAGAAAGCAATTTCTCTTGCTTTGGCAGAGCTCCTTTTTTAATACCTTTCATGACTAAACTTCAGTGCTACTGCATTATGGCTTTATAATAAGCGTGCTAGGCTAACTGTGCTTATTTTATTGAAATTCCATTCGGAAATAAAGCATTTATGATCAGGAAAGATACCTGGTTTATGTCTGAAAAAATATTCAGGGGATTTTGGAGATATCGATATCTTTCCTGAATTCTGTCTGCTCTACACCAATCTCATACCAGTATCTTTAATGGACTTACCCTTCATTTATCTCCTGAGAGTGAGAGGAGAATCAGACCCACTTTATTTTGAAAAGTTTTAATTCTGGAAGTGAAAACTTTTTCAGTGCTTCGGGAAATTACGGGCAAGCCTGTACTTAAAGGCAGGGTTCTCCGTCTCCCCTTGGACTTGCTGCATTGCTGGCAGCCAGACAGCAGGTTTCTTCTGCCAGTCCAAATGGGACCCTTTACCTGGGGATCCCCTCTCACCATAACTCCTTACTCCAGCTTTACAACGAGTTCAGTGGATGTTTCTCCAAAAGGAAGACTATTTGGACATGAAGTAAGGCACTTGTGAGCAATGCACAAACGTGTGAACAGAGGGTTTGAAATGCCCAAGCTTGAATCCCTGCAGTGCTGCTGGCCCTCTGTCTTGTGTTGGCAACTGGGTCCTTTCAGTGTCTCTTAGCTTGTGTGAGGAGCTGGGGAGATACCACTGAACCGTTGGTTGAGAAGTGTCATTCTTTGAGCACGCAAAGCTGTGTAGTAACGTGAGGAGAGAAGCAGAGCAGAAACCAGAGCTCCTGTTTCATGGGAAACACCATATTGAGAATTTGCCTCTGTTCTGAGAAAACAGCAATAATTCCTCCAAACTCAACATTTCCAATGCAATGCATTTGGGCCAATTGGAATGTTTCAATTTGGGTTTCAACTCTTAATAGCACAACCAAATATAATTTATATCTTGCAGTGGAAAAGCCAATTCCAAATTGGCAGGGAGTCAGCTGAGCCTGGAAATTCACTCCCTTCTTCTCCCCACTTTTTCCCCCCCTTAAAAAAGTACCGGTAGGAACAGTTGCTTGTTTGCAAAGGAACACTTTCCTACTGAAGATTTTCTAGTGATGCTTAAGATGGATGTTACAAATATCAGCCCAGACCATAGAGCAATTGCTGGAGTTCCTTCTACAGCCTTTAAAAATCCTCTCAGTGCAGCCATTCTGGCAGTTCCTTATATATGTAGTCAGACCCAGCCTGACTGTGTTAGGTGTTTAAATGCCCTGCTTTGAGTCCATCTCCCTTTCTCTGTTCGTGATCTTGACGCAACAGTTTAGGCTGGCTCAAGGAGGATTGTCAGCTCTGCAGTTCTGAATGCTCTTATCTGCAGAGACCTGCAGGGTTAGCAGAGAAAAGCATCCAGCATCTTCCTCTCCTCCGGAAATTGAATGTATCATTTCTCTCAGACTCCCAGAGGCCACAGCCTCCAAGGCTAAAAACCTACAACTATTACTGAACCTAATTACCACCTGACAGCAAAGTGCTTTTCCGTAGCATCATTCAGTTACCTCATCAAAAGGAATGTTTGTTTGCTTTCTTCATTTTAAATTAAAGAACCACTGACAGTGGTAACTGAAGCATTTTAATCTCATCAAATATCCATGTCCATCTCTATAGAGACAGCCACGCCAGCAGGGAAAGATACACATCTATAATCGGGTTGCACAGAGCAAATTTTTCTACTCGTTCCCCCCCCGCCCCCCCCCGAGTCTAATGGGGTGAGGGATCTTTTGTTTGGGGAGTGCTACCTTGCAGTAAAATCCTAAATACAGTAAATGTTCAGCCCAAAGCCAACAGAAGTTTAAGGAATAGATTTTTAAAGATTCATGTTGTTAATTTCCTGACAGCTTTTAAATACCAGCTTTTCCCTGTAAGTAGACAAATGCCTTCTATTTGGATCCTGGGCTTTGTCACCTGACATTTGATCAGAGCCGGTATATATATAAAATGTACATCAATGAAATGAAATTGTTCTTTGAAGCTGTCATGTTAACTGCAAACTTGTCCAAAAGAAAATCTTGCAAACTGCTGGGAAACAGAAGGGCTGTGGCTTTAAATATGCCTTGGCTAGGCAGTGGCACTAGGAAAGGATTGGAATATGTAAAATGATACTAAATATCTGTGTAATCAGGACTAATTATATGGCATGGTTATTAGCTTGAAACAGGACATGTTGTGCCCACAGTTTATGAAAATATATTAAAGCATTACCAGATTCCATTGAAAGAAAGCTGCAGAGTTAATAAACGTGTAAGGGACAACTAATTGGCTGCTTTGTCCCAGCCTACTACAGGCAGAACGATTTCTGTTTGAGGGAATTAGTGCAGCCAAAATGTGTTATAATGATAGCCCTGGAAATAACAACAACCTGCAACACTTCCAGAGCACATCCGACTGAAGGATCTTAAAGAAGAAAATGTTTATGTCGGTATCACCATGTTGCAGAGAAGGAAATTAAGGCACAGAAAGGGAGAGACAGTCCTGAGAGTCCAAAATATGGCTAGTACCCAAATTCGGGCACCTTTCCAGAGTTTAGTCCACCACACAGGCTGTCTGACAACAGCCATCCTAGAGCACAGGCAATGCGGGCAGCTCTGGGGGAACTGAATTACGATCACCCAAAGGGAGAGGCAAGAACCGATGCAACAGCTCTCGTTACAGAGCCAAGGCTGGGGCTGGGTTACCTCTGCTGTCCCGTATGCTTGTGCAGCTTATCCCAAGAGGGAAAGAGGAATAGCTGTACCTGTGTAAGGTGCCTATGTGCCTGTAAGTGAATCCAACTGCTCGGTGGGACCTGTGGTTAAATTCCACCTGCCCTTGTCTATAGAAGCCCCTGGGACAAGTGTCACCTGTAGATGGGGCCTTCGGTTCCTCGCTGTGGAACTGTGCCCGCCCCCCTCCGAAGGAGTCAAGCTCCACTGACTTCCTAAGAGGCCACCACAAAAGTTAGGTTAGAGCTGGAGCCCTCATGTATTTGCTGAGCCTGCCGGGGGGAGCAGTAGGAGTGCTATGTTTTGTCCCTGCATGGCTGGTTGCTAGAAATTAGTGTTGAATGCATCATTGTGGTGGCGGTCTCTGAAAGGTTGGGGTGAGCTTGGGCACACCCAACTCTGCACTGGGCAATCCTGTTCCCTCCCAGCATGTCCTAACCAGTGAGAGGAGTTTTCACAGTTGCCAGCCATAGAAATCAAGCTTAGAGGCTTCTGCTCCCTCTGTAACTAAAGGAACCTCTGGGCAAACCTGATGGGTTATTCTCCTGTGCACCCTTCCTCCCATGACAGCTTGTCCAGTCCCTCACAGTGCCCTTCAGCCCCTTCCTTCTTGCTGAACTTCCTCCAGCCTTCCCCCTGATCTCCTAGGAGCCCAGCCCAGCGTCCATGCAGCATTTTCCACAGACTGCAAGGGAAGGTCAGGACTCGTTTCAAACAGTAACCCCAATGTTTCTTGCAGTCCTCATCCTGGGAAGACAACATGATCCCAAACAAATGCCCGGTTCAGAAAGATAACTACTCATGGGACCCCACCTGAAGTACTGCATCCACCTCAGGGGTCCCCAACATAAGGACATGGAGCTGTTGGAGCGAGTCTGGAGGAGGCCACAAAGATGATCAGAGGGCTGGAGCACCTCTCCTATGAAGACAGGCTGAGAGAGTTGGGGTTGTTCAGCCTGGAGAAGAGAAGGCTGCGGGGAGACCTTAGAGCAGCTTTCCAGTACCTGAAGGGACCTACAGGAAAGCTGGAGAGGGACTGTTTACAAGGCCGTGGAGTCATAGGACAAGGGGTAATGGCTTTAAACTGAAGGAGGGTAGATTTAGATTAGATATTAGGAAGAAATTCTTCCCTGTGAGGGTGGTGAGGCACTGGCACAGGTTGCCCAGAGAAGCTGTGGATGCCCCTGGATCCCTGGAAGAGTTCAAGGCCAGGTTGGGGCTTTGGGCAACCTGGTCTAGTGGAGGGTGTCTCTGCCCATGGCAGGGGGGTTGGAACTAGATGATCGTTAAGGTCCCAGGCCATTCTATGATTCTACGATAATGTCTGTTGTTATCAGCATGTTAAGCAATTATTTTCCTGAAGGTGATGTGTCTGTGGCAAAATAGGAAAGCATCAATGACTGAGCCGGGGAGGCCAGGAAGGTTAGAATATTTTCCTATGTGAGCTAATGAATTAAAAGCCTTACTGGAAATGTTGGACATTTTCTGGAGTGAACAAGCTGGTAGGCCTATGAATTTCTAACAGAGTCAAAGAGACCTCTGTGCTGCCTACAGAAGCTGCTGGAGAAGAAAGCGCTGCCACTTAGACGTGCTTTAGTGAGGTGCAAGAAAGTCCACCCTGGAAACAAAGATATCTCTCTAAGGCTGGGTTAAGTGGGCACAGAGCAGGAGAGCGCAGTGCAGAAATGGGCTGTCGGGTGGCAATGAAGATTCATGCCCTTCCTCTCCTCTTGTTACTGTCCTTTTTTAAGCTGCTCGGTGACCAGCAAATTCTGCTCCTGCTGCACTCACTGGAAGGTATTTGAGTGGGGCTCCCTTTGATGCCACCGGTGCCACAGGGAGCTTTTCCTCTTACAGCCTCTGTCCTGCCCTTGCCTCTTTTTACTTATGCCAGAGGAAAGGTTAAGATTGCTTGGGTCGAAAGTGAGAAATGTCCTCTGCTGAAATCTTTGGTAAAAGGCGAAAAATTTGTAAGAGATTAAGAGAAAGCAGAGTACAGCTGTTACAGAGACTGGTTAAGGCAGGAAAACAGAATTTTTGCTGAAAAACTTGCAAATGCCAGTCACCTTGCAGTGCCTTAAGTCCACTCCTTTGCCCACACCAGTGTTGCTCTGGTCTTTCACTCCTGGTTCATTGACTGCGCAGCAGAGCCCTGCTCCAGCGCAGCATCAGTGGAGGAGCTCTTGCCTCTTTAATCGCTGACTTTTTTTTTCTCT